AATAATGATTTAGGCAGCGAGTAAAAGCTCGGTGCCTGAGCTTTTTGGGTTGGCTTCGCTTATTGTCTTGTTACAATATTATAATTTATTACCATTATTATTAGTGTTATCATTATCACCATTATAATTATTATTCGTATAATCAATATCATTTTCATTATAATCGTTACTATAATTATTATAATGATCATTAGTTATATTTATCATTGTTATTATTATATTCATTACCATTTTCACTATTATCTAATATTAGTGTCATTATCAACATCATTTTTAGTTATCTTTATTATTATCATTATCATTATTATTAATTATTATATATATTATTAATTTATTATTATACTATTATCATTACCATTTTCATCATTACTGATTGTCCTCTCATCATAATTTCCTTTATATTTATAATGACTGAACACCAAAACGCGGCAGTAGCGACCGGCAGCCTCTGTGGTCCCAAATCGGGAAAACAAACATTATTATTACTGTTATTGTTATCATTATTATTATCATTATAATATTGGTAATACTAATGATAATGATAATATTACATTCAAAAATCATACATTTTAAATAGTCTACTCTCTAAGAAAAACAATCATATATATATATATATATTATATATATATATATATATATATATATATATATATATATATATATATATATATATATATATATATATATATATACCATATATATATATCTATATCACACACTACACACACACACATACACACACATATGTGTATGCGTGTGCTTGAGTCACTATACTCCATTTGTTTACGAGATGAAGATGCACAGATCACGTCATTGTATGTCCTCAACCTGCTGATTACCAAATAATTATCATAAACTATATATGTCCTATCATCAGTCACCACAAACTTTCCGAATGTATCTTCGCTTCTATTTGGAGAATCTATTTCGCGTAGAAAACTGGAGGTTTGCACTATGAATATTTTTTATACATTGAAATACTTGACATCTCGGTTCCATTTCGGAGAATATGATTTATTAAATATCATACCTGATTGTGTTCACTCCTGGCCAGAATTACAGAATTAGGGTGTGAGCATTTCCAAACATGATACAAACCATGTTACTGAGAAAGTTCAAATACTTTACAATCATGGTTTGACTGTTATTTGGAAGATATCAGAAAATCAATATTCAAAGCGTATGTTGCAGAGATAGTGCAATAGGAATTAATGTTACAAGGAATGAGCTATAAAATGTACAAATTAATAGACTGGTTTCCAGAAAACTGAATGTTTGAGTACACGCATATTTCCATGTGACTCATGCAAGATGCAGAAGTGAAGTATGGCTATTACTGTCATTTACTGAAAAAATAAACGCTTATCTATTGCTATGATGAGCAAGTCAACACTCTGCATGGAGAATAACGATGTAAAATGTTGCACAGACTTGATATAGAGGGAGAACATAAAAGATTCGTTAACATTGAAGTTATTCATTTTATCAATTTTCTAATATGTCGAATGACAGACGAAGAATACAAAAGTGGCTCAATAGATTCGCAGCAAATATTTGTATCGTTACCTATCAAAAGACTGCATGATACGGTCTTGCGTTGTTTAAAATGTCTACATCACGTCTGTTTTGTGAGTTTACATTACCATTGCATGAAATAATGTTAAATTTATTTCTACTATTGATGGTCATAGCTGTCGAATGTCGTGATTTTATCGGAGAATTACTGCGTGCTAATAATATATATATATATATATATATATATATATATATATATATATATATATATATATATATATATATATATGTGTGTGTGTGTGTGTGTGTGTGTGTGTGTGTGTGTGTGTATATATATATATATATATATATATATATATATATATATATATATATATATATATATATAATTAATGCGGTTCTTTTGAATATCCTGTCTTTTGTGTGCACTGGATTTCTAAATTATGTATTTAACAAACGTACACAATGAAGTGTACGGTAACTTATTATCTATGAACATTTTACAAGAAAAATCACTGGATGCGAATAGTGACAAAAACGACGTTAACAGTATTTTTATTATTATTATTAAAAGCCATGTGGACAATTAGTTGTGTTAAAGCACAGAAAAAAGGGAAGAAATGCAGTACAGTAACTCTCTTTCAGTGCTATGCCTTTCTCACTTGTCTTAATGTTTACATCTATTCCTTCGGGACACTGCTGTACTTCTTTAGCGAGGCAGGAGTCCTTGTCTGGCAGAGAGAACGTTCTGCGGCCAGGATCCCCAGCGAAACAAGGGCACTGAGGCCGAGCAGGAGGAAGGGCGTGAGGACCGTCTTCAGCTCGATGGGCGTTGCTTCCAGGGCGCTGCAGTCGGTGGTGGAGTAGCTCAACTCCGTCCACCATTTCCTGAGGAGGCCCGAGGAGACGATGTCGAGGATCCTGACGAGGAAGAGATGGGTATGTGCAAATCCATTTTACTTGGTATTGATACTGATGAAATAATAAACATGAATAACAATATCAAAATCTTACGAAGTCATCAGAACATCAAAAGGCAAGGAGAACCTACAGTTTGTTCATGAGAGGAACAAGAGGCGAGTCCCTTGGGAGGGCGAAGGACGTGTACGTCGAGAAATACCGTGCCGGAAGCATGAAAACGCGACAGTCATGTCCGTAGTTCATGTCGAAGAAGAGTTCCCACAGCATGAGAGCATAATCACCCTCCCGGACGCGTTCCATTCCTGCAGGCGCTGTAGGACTTAGGTCTTCCTCCTCTATGTTGCGCCATACCTCCTGGAGCAGCGGATTGCTCGAGTCCTGGAGGAACGGATGCGAAGGTCTCCTTTCCCGTTTTGCTTCTCTCTTTTTCTCACATATCTAGTCACTTGGCCATTTATATGAGCTAAATAACAAATATCACAAGCGTTTGTCGAAAAGAATTCCAAGCTTAATGAACAACCAACCCTGAAATCAATGGTGTTCGCAGTGCCCTTGACGAAGCCGAATGTGATTGCCGGGTCGTTGTGAACATCCCGCAGGTCATTCAGGGCCGGAAGCGAAGGCCCGACGGTGAGAGCCGAGACCATGTTGCTGGTGTAGTATGCAAGGGATATTAATTGCAACAGCAGTGCCGTCAGCATCACCGTTCTCCCTGCCACTGTGTGAAACCCTAGAGTTGTACCTAGGGAATTGAGAGAGAATGTAGCGTCAAAGCAGAGTGAGGGAATCCTCGAAATACCTCAACACTTGAAGCTGTAGCTGAATATCAATAAAATACAAAAAGCCAGAACTAACTTTGCGTTCAGAGAACTCATAAATAGCCAAACTAGCCCACAACTCCACCGACAATTTTTAAAACCTTGGCCAAAGAGAAAGCCGACGACGGTGAAAAACGATTCCGAGAGGTGGGCTTCGCATTCGTTCTTGGACCACCGAGACACCACGTACAGCGCAGCTCCCAAGGCCAGAGCCACGGTCACCATCATCCCCCAGACGCCTCGTTCGAACTGCTTCGTGTAAACAGTCCACATGTAATCCTCGTTGGACGGTCGTCTCATTGCTATTCCGTAACTGGAAAACATTCATATGCTGTTATGCTGTTTATCAAATCTTGTCACTTGTTTCCTTCATTTGTTCTTAGCATTTTGAAGATATTTATAGTCTGAAATCTGTGATTATAAACACTACTAAATGAAAAGTAAATCAACAGAAAAGGTATTCGACTCTTAGCCACTAAAGGTTCTGAGGATGTAAGCCGAAAGCGTTCTATGGTTTTTGTATTATAATTGCATAAAAAGAAAAATACCGAAAAGAAATATTGCACTGAAATGTCGAGGAAACTACTGAAAAGCAATAAAACCAAAGCAAAGGAAAAGATATTAATTATTATACGATATTAAGAATGCAATAAAACCAAAGCAAAGGAAAAGATTGAAATAAAGTCATCAGTTGGAAATTATAAAGTTGACGCGTCAAACTAACTCGTACTATTATAAATTTGTAAAAGGATGAATAAATAAATAAATGGACCAAATGCTACGATATATAGGGTGTTTATATAGTTTCCTGATAAGAATGCTATCAAATCAACACAAGCACATACAGACAGACACAAGTTCTTATAAGATTCACAGGGAAAATAGAGGGTGTTTATATAGTTTCCTGATAAATCGCAAAAAGACATTAGACTTGCCTATTAGATATTGATTTTTTTTCTGTAGTGAATGTCACAAAACCGAGGGCCTCTGCTGTTCTTTGTTATAAATGAGGACGTTAATAATAGTTTTAAATATTTCAAAGGAACATCTTAGATAATACAGGGTTAGGTAAACCATTAACTTTGGTTTATGAAAATGGCAACTTTAAGAGATCCACGATCTGTTTGTGATTGGAGAGAGCAATAAGAAATTTTATTGCTCATGAACTTGAATAAGATAGTTTAGCTGGAAATCCGAAACCAAAGTTTAGCCACCAGAGGGCTCGGAAATCCAAGAAATAGTAGTAAAAGATCAACTTTTTATGAGTAAAGACATTACCTTCAGGCCTCATACTGAACAGGCGACCAATCAGGAGAAAGCTAAGTGGATGGACGATGAGGATTTTTCAAGCAAGAGATTCGATAAATCCTTTTCACTAAAGAGAACTTTAGTGACAGATTATTGAAGAGTGTGGAATTTAAATTATTACACACACACACACACACACACACACACACACACACACACACATATATATATACATATATATATATATATATATATATATATATATATATATATATATATATATTATATTATACTTATATATATATATATATATTTATTCATATATATGCATATATATATTTAACATTTAAATATCAGCTTTTTAGATATTTTTGCAAAGTTCCACAAAACACTTCTAGACTGCATTATGGAAAATGAATTCCCAAGAGTTTCCACGAATTCCGATTAAAAATACCAATAGTTCCTACCGTCGCCGGGTCCCTATTTTGCTTACATTCTCAACCCTATTAAGAACGCGTCTGTGTCTGCATATTCCTTTCCTTCCCCATACACCTATCCATAAACCTCCCACAAGCACAACCCTTCCGCCAAGACCGAGAGCCTAAGACCTCGAGGCCACGACGTTGAGGAGGAACTCGGCGACGGCGCTGCGCTCGAGGGTGATCGCCAGCGGAGCGACGGCGACGTCTGCGGTCCCGTCGACCACCTCCCCGACCATGCCGCGCCACTCGCCGCCGACCTCGACCCCCCACTGGCCATCTCGCACTCGCCGGCACGTGGACCTTGGCCATGCAGGAGTAGGGTGTTAATGCGGGCGTGGGGATAAGGATTGTTGGTATGAGGATAAAGTAGAATAACTTTGGGATTGGTGTTCATGCTGGTGGTCCTTCAGAATAGCAGTATCAACGAAAGCAAGAAATTGATAATCATGATTGTTGTTCGAACTGCTTGCCACTATGATAATGACGTCATGAATACTAAAAATCAGGTTCTTGCTATAAATCCAGATTAGAACAGTCGCTTCCTTACGTGAAATTCGTAATCTCTCTGAGGGCATCGAAAACCTTTCCAAAAAGACCCTTCACACGAACCGTTCCGTCGAGATGGTGCTTCAGGACGACCAGCGGCTCGTACTAAGGCAGGGTAAGGGAAGGGATTAAGTGCGTGACATAGCTCAAGATCAGTTTTTCGTCATAGGCAGGGCGAGGGAAGAACACTAATGTAGTTGTCTGAAGGTCAGTGACTTGCGCAACTGGCAGGGAGAAAGAAGATTTGCGCAATTGGCAGGGAGAAAGACTCACGCACTTGGCAGGGAGAAAGAAGACTCGCGCACTTGGCAAGGAGAAAGAAGATGAATGGAAATGTCTCAGTATCAGAGACAAATTAAGGGAGATAAAAATACGTCTCAAAATGAACGACTCTAAGCGGCAGGGAAAGGCAAGGAGGGAAAAGCAGGAAAGGTCTCAAGATCAGCGGTTCATAAAAGCAGAGGAAGAAAAGGAGTTAACGCGGGAGAAGTTTTAATATCAGCGACTGGTGCAAGAACCAGAGGAAGGGGAAGTTAATGCGTGACATGTTTCAAGATCAGCGACTTCTACCAGGCGGGGAAGAGAAAGAGATAAATGTGGATGTTTATGTTTGACTTGTTTTAGACATGTTCATACTCTGATCATTGGCTTTTCCATTTTCTTGGTGTGTGGTGTATGTGTAATTGATATGCAGTATAATGTGATTGTTTTGGTGTGTACATATATGAAGGTTTATGTAAGTTATCCTTTCAATATAGTCATTCCTTTTATTTTTATATTGCCATAGATAGAGGGAAAAGTATGACTATCATTTACTGTTGTTTACTATACCTTAGGTCAGATTAAAAACCATTGGATATCAAATATTCACTACTAAAAAAAAATGCCCAAGTACTTTCTTAAGTTGCGAATTTCATCATCATTTCATTAAAGACCGCATTGCTCTAAGTCAAACAACCGCCCACCCAGCCGAAGCTCACCTCCACAGTCGTGCACCTCACATGAAGACCCGTCAAGTCCCGCCGTCGAAGTGGAGGGTCGTCGACGGGGGCCTCCAACGCGCCGACACCCAGCCGCCTCCTCTCCACTCTCACCACCTTCGGTATGGCGAGTCCAGCGACCAGAGGATGCGAGGAGAACACCCCTTCGGCCGCTAACTTCTCACCGGCAGTGGCACTCTCAAACTGGGCGTGGGTGTCCGTTCTTGCGTGAGGGGGCCGAGCGATGGACACCCAACGTCCGACGGGTTGAGTCCGTTGCTCGAGGTGTTCGCTTACCTGATATGATTCCCAGAGTGTTGCCACTTTGCCGTCACTGCTGAAGTTCGCGATTGTGATCTGTTTGGTAAAAAGGGAATTGAAAAAGTTGAATACGGTAAACAGATTAAATAATATTCGTCACAATTATGTACTTAAAAGGAGTGCAATTTCATAAAACTTTCTTGAGTTTATAATTTTTGCAGTGGTATCGACAGTAACAAAGATGAGGATATTTTTTTAAACTACGACTGTTATAAAGGATAACACATGCAACAAAAGAAATAAGTCATTTACTCTGTACATCATAGATATATAGATAGATAAATAGACGCATTGTATAAAGAAAATGCCACAGTAGTAACGGAATGCAAGTCGACAAGAATTCCTCTTCGGATGTACTCTTGAATTCGAAAAGACACGATTTATATTCCGTTACTGTTACAGCAGTTTTCTTTATCTCTGTGTAAATGTTAAAGTGGTTCAGTGTGCTTGCATCTCACATTCTCTCATTGCTCTCTGTATATCTTACTTTCTCCACACACACACACACACACACACACACACACACACACACACACACACACACACACACACACACACACACACACACACACACACACACACACACACACACACACACACACACACACACACACACACACACACACACACACACACACACACACACACACACACATACACACACACACA